TAGGGGTTCTTAGGAATATCACGTCACTGGTCTCAGTTCTCCTTTCCAGCGTTCTAAAAAGGAGCTGAAGTTCACTCTGATTGCTCTCTAGATACTTTCTGACTTCACTCTGGAGTTTGTAATCCTTTGTCCTTGGTGTTAGTTGTTTCAGGTCACTATGGAGATTATTATTTAGGCAAATTACTTTCTTAGTACAGTTCCTTTTTCTTGGTGCTGGACTCATTTGTGCTCGTATGACTTAAGTCGGTTTCTTTAAGGAAGTGCCAGTTCTCTTGAATTCTTTACTTTAGTGGCCATTTCTTCCAAGTGTACTGAAATTTGAATGTCTCTGCATCTGTAATCCTTGTGTTCAGGCAAATCACCATTTTTACCAAAAGGAGTCTTGAGTTGTGTAGAAACCTTGGTGGTGGTGATGTTGGGAATGTTTTTAGAAAGCCTGCTCTGATAACAGCGTGGGGAGGGCTTCCTGCAGCAGGACTGTCCTTAAATAACAACACTGGCTTGGATTAGCACTGCCTGTTCTGAGCTGAACGCTGAAACAAAATGTTCTAAACATGCTAAAAGGTTGACTTTGATTTTTTTTTTTTTTTTAAACAGCATTATATTTACATTTGGTTGTGGGTTGGTTTTTTTTTTTAGTGAGCAGGTGAACCCAGACATTATTTAAGGGTAGGAAATGGGGCATTTTTGAAATTTAATATCATAGGATTAATGGGATTTTTCAGTTCGGCTGTGGAATTCCAGATGATATGGTCTAGGCAACTGCTGGTTGCCTGATGGATGTGAAACTCCTTTTAGGAGGAGGATTGTTTTCATGTTCTCTGCAGCTGCTCCAGGCAGTCAAAGACAAGTGTGACCCAGGAAGATAATGAGAACAGTACAGTAATGGCTTTGTTTTCTTTGCACCTGGAGAGACCAGGAGGGTTACGCTGGAAACTCAATCTGAAACATTTGTGTCATTTATTGAAGAAGTGTCCTTCATCCCTTCTAAGTGTCCATAGAACCTTTCTCTGAGGGTGCAATTGGGAGGGGTAGGTGATGCATTCGCTTGAGTCCAGCGCAATATTTCAATTGTGGAGTAATCTGTGAGTTGTACGTCATGGGTTGGGGCAGTCCTGCAAAGTCCTGGGTGTTAACAGCACCCAGGAAGGGGCTGAGTGTTTTTACATTTGGACTCACGGAATTTTTCAGTTCTTCCTCGTGGTTTCTTGTGGGCAGCCCAAGCCACTGAGTGATTAATTTAATGTGTGTCACTACAGTTATTTTTCTTCTAAGTGCTTCCCTGTATTTGCCTCTGCTGTCCAGAGAGAACCCACAAATTATGTACGTACTGCTCCTCTTTGCTTTCTTAGCTTTTTGCTGTTACTGCCAGTGCTTTTCCTTGGGAAGAAACTTGCCCTTTGGAAATTATCCTTTTGCTCCCAAAATACTGACTACACCTCTCTTTAAAAACAAAACAAGCCACTGAGGGAAAAAAATTGTGGATTTCTTCGTGTGCTGATCCTTTATGTGCTGAGCGTCACTTACAAATTGGAAAGTGGAGTTTGCGTGCTCCTCTTCTGAAAGCTCTGAACTGACCCGCTTGAATGGCTGGGTCCTACAAGATAGTGGCATCGTACAGTGCTCTGGCCTCATCAAATCCTTGACCTGGCCTGTATCCAGGAGAGAATGGGAGAAGAAGAGGAGGTGGGATGTCTCCTGTTCACCTCGCTGGACCCCGCCTGCTTGGTGTGCAGGCCAGGTTCCAGCTCAGAGCGTAGCACATTGTGCATCTGCCCTTCAGACCAGAGAGACTAAGCAGAACATGTTCTTGGCTTAACCTTGCTCTTCGTGTTCTTTCCTCAGCTGGGGAGTCCCCCTTGGCATCACGGTGGCGGCCGTTGCTCTGAAAAAGATTGGCTACGATGCCTCCAACGTCTCTGTGGGCTGGTGCTGGGTCAACCTGGATGCAGAGGATCGAGTCTTGTGGATGTTGTTAACGGGGAAGATTTGGGAGATGCTGGCCTATGTGATTTTGCCAGTGCTCTACATTCTCATTAAGAAGCACATTAACAGAGCGGTGAGTATTTTGCTGCTTTTGTCTGAAGTTACAGTCTTGCTATGTGATTATATCCTCCTCTGCTCTGAAGATTTTGCTGCATATTTAGCAGCCACACAGTCAGGAATTGCTTCCTATGCTGCTGAAATGCACCTGGTTGAGCAGCCTGCAGCATCATTACACAGTGACTTAGCACAAGAAGAATGTAAAAGCCTTTTGAAAACTTAAGGGGGTTATGGGATGTACACGAGTGAAATGTAAATCCTACTGTAAGAATTGAAACAGGGTGGGAAGGGTGACATTTGGTTTTAATCAGCCTTCCACAGCTCCACTTGTACCAAGTCTGAGGTTTGTTGTCTGAATTTATCTAACCTCAGTCATTGTGGGATCTTTAATGATAGGTTCCACTTATAAATACTTGTTTTGTACTAGCAATATAATCTCCATTTGGGGGGTTTATGGTCATTAATAGAGTCTGGACACTATAGAGCATTAGGCACCGTATGCATGCACAGTGGGGGAAGACACCCTGTCCCAGGAAGGTTTCAGAATTCAGAGGCTTATTTGCTGCTGCTCCTTGTGAACACAAAGAATCCAGGCATCTAGGAAAATGTTTGCATGATAGAGAAATATAGATTGAAAGTGGCGGAAGGAACTACACCCAGAGATCCCTGTTTTCTCTTAGTAGGGGGAAAAAGACCCCCACATCTGGATAGATATCCTTCTGGATATTGCTGCCACTGCAAACCTGCTACAGGAGTCATAGTTAGGGACAAACACAAGTCTGGGTAGGCGCAGGATCTCACAGACGAGTTGGAAGGACAAGGTAGTCTTAAGCAGCCCTAAGGGTCCTGAGAAAGGGGAGCTGGGAAGGGTTTGCTGGTGCCTGTCACCATCACCTGACGTAAATCAGAGAGGACGCTGTGTTCCAGCAGCTGTCAGAGATAGCAGCGTGCCTGCCGGGAACCTGACCCTCGCCTGCCCAGGCTCTCGCCCTCGCTCTGCCAGGGATTCTTGGACACTTGGCTCTCCCTTCCCCGCTCCCAGCCCTGTTACAGGAGCGGTGCTGAGGGCAGGCAGCCATCACACCGTTCTTGTAACAGGGGGTCTGAGGGCTGGAGCAGCAGCACACGGGGCCGTCTAGACCAGAGCATCTCTCTTCTCATTGTGCTAAGCCTTGTAAGCCATTACTAAGCCTCTTCGTTGGCAGGAGGTCTCCCACTTCCAGGGAAGGGCAATAGGTGACCACGGCTGGGTTTGGGCTGAAGTGGGTTTCTGGTAGTAGCTCCTGCACAGTCTGAGAGGAAGAGAAATTATGGAAGCAGCTGTTGTGGGGGACTAGGGCTTTCCAAATGGAAAAGGCTGCATGGGAGTGGGTGGGAAGCTGCACTAAAAAGCCCTCAGTGGGGTTTGACTCAGCCCACTGTGCAGTGTTGTCGTACAGCTCTGTTCTGGAGGAAGGGAGGTATCGGGACTTGGAGTACTGGAGGGAAGGAGAATACTGTGCGTCTAAGTTGTGTGTGCTCTGTAGCCCTGATGGTAGGAGGGATAGCTTTCTGCAGGTCAGCTATCCTGAGATTTAATCTCTTCACCCACGTTAACATCCTGATATTTAACATCACGTGCTCCAGCAGCTGCTCTGTGCTGTGTTGACCTGCTCTCCCCATCCAGGAATTTGAGTCCATCCAGTAGCTTCTGCCATAAGAAGGTCTCATGAGCCTTACACCTCCAGCCACCCTGATCCAGGGCACAGATCCCTCAATTTTTACAGAGAGGTTTGCTGGTTTGCCCAAATCCGTGGAAGCCCATTGCTGACAGCATGTGGCCAGAAATGAGGCAACAGGTTCTGCACAAACATACTGAAGGACTGGTTCACATGGGCATAAATCCCGTGTGGATCTTGCTGGCTGCGGCCGTGGTGAAGGCCAAAAATTCAGGTAGTTTAGCAGAACAAGCCAGACTTCTCCCCAAGGCCAATCCCTCAGCCAGGCACTTACACGGTGGTGAAGGCAGCAGCAGTGGAGCCGGGCCACCGGCTCAGCAAAACTATTTCATGGAGCACCACTGGGTTTTTTTAATGTTGTTCCTGGTTTCTTGGCAACTGCGTAGCGATGTTTGTTAATATAAAGCTTTAGTGGGACTCTGATAAGGGCTGAATGGTCTTTATTTGCCACTCCTTGGCTTTTTTTGTGTTAGGAAGGGCAGGACATGGCTGAAGCCTGGTGCTCGTAGCCGTGTCCCCATTAACTTCCCGCAAGATGCAGAAATTTAGTTTGCTTTGGAAAGAATCCCTGGAGCTAAATGTCCAAAGTGTATAGCTTTTTGTTCACATTTTTGTCTCCCTCCCACCCTCCATGGAAGCACGCAGCTCTCTCAGAGTATCGCCCCATTCTCTCAAGAGCACCTGCGTTTCAGCCCCGGACTTCCATAGCAGATAAGAAGTTGATTCTCATCCCTGTCATCTTTATCGTCCTCCGCATCTGGAGCACTGTACGATTCATTCTGACCCTCTGTAACTCCCCTGCAGTGCAAAATTCAGTCCTGGTTGTCCTGCATGTAAGTATTTGTCAGGAAACACATTAGAAGGAAGGAGGATCTGGGAGGGAGATGAGGCTTTGTGGCTCTCAATATCGCTTATTTGTGGCAGGACGCAGCACCTTGCAAGGACATCTGCTCTCTGCTGGCAAGTGCTGTTTCAGCAGCATCTAGTGGCTACGGAGAATGTTGGCAATGCCAGCTGCTTTGTAGGAAAAGCAAGCTCAGAGCAGAAATGTTGGGTGTCTGTCCTTCAGCTCCTGCTCTAGACCAGGCTGTAGCAAAGGCAAACCACCACAGCCCTCTGGTCTCCTTTTGGGTGCAAGGTGGATATTTCTGAATCTTTTCCTTGTTTAGGTGGAAGTTGCTGAATGTTGAGTCGGGCAGTACTATCGCTGCTCTGACACCGTGCTTGTTCTGGGGGGTGCCTGTAGGAACCGCACCGGTTAATTCCTTTCTTGCCCTTGCAGGGAATCGGTAACACGTTCCAAGGAGGTGCCAACTGCATTATGTTTGTCCTCTGTACACGGGTGGTCCGGACTCGGCTGTTTTCCTCCCTTTGCTGTTGCCACTACGATGAGTTGGACTGGCCTTTGCAAAGATCACACAGCTCCTGGCAGCACCCAGAACCCCACAAGGACAAGGATGTGCCAGACCCCGAGCGGACAAAACCTCTGCTTGCCAGCACCTGAGCCTGGGCTGTCTACACCTTGGTGCTGATTTCTTCTTTCACGGTAAAGATCTAGTTGAGTCTTCTCTCCCGCCGTGTCTGTTCGCAGGGGTGGGGAACAGCTACCAGTAAGCAGCTGACAAAAAGGGCCGTTTCTGCTGCCGCTGTGGGAGTTCCCTGTCTGACTGTACTGCAGCTCCCCGCCATGCTCCTTTGGGGCAAAACCATTTATAGAACTGATCTGCTTCCCTTCCCTGTGAGCTGGGGTAGCATCTCTTACTCAAGCCTGTAAAATGAGGAAATAGACTTCAGTGCTGTCTGGTGTACAAGGATAGGACACCAATGAAAACTGAAGAGGAGGAGTGAGTGGCCTCTGATGGAAAATACCGTGCACGCATACGTTTCTTCAGTACTGCACAGTTCAGGTGTATTTAGTGCCCCAAGTATTTCTTGTAAGGTAATGGAATCTGCCATCCATCATCATAAAAAGGAAGCAGAGGGTGATTCACGCAAATTACATAGAAAATTTGTAGGAGCAAAAAACTTGACAGAATCTTTTAATTTCGGGTGCAAGACAGGGCATTCAAAGCCCTTGCATTGAGTGTAAGCATCTAGTTTCCTTGTGCTTGACCTCATGAGCTGCAGAACATGCAGGTATGTCAACAATCTGTTTAAGAGCCCTTGGGGTTGTGGGGCTGCGTGGGCTTCTATGAAGCAGATATTGACAGCACTTTTCTTCAGTAACACAGTGCATCTGAAGTAGTTTAAAAAATCTAGAGCAGCTTTCCTGTCTGCTTACGTAAATGTAAACCCTGATGTGCTGGGAGCTGCAGTCTCTTCAGAAAGGATATGAAACTCTGTGTCTTTCTGCAGTTACACTTGCCCTGTGGGTCACACTTGGTGAAAAGGGCTGAGTCTGAAAGGCAGACAGCCCGCCTGGCTCCTGGGGCACAGCAGGGGCTGAGCACCCTGGAAAGCGAGCTGTGTGTGGGGTATGGTAGGTCTCCCATGTACATCTGTTTCCTGTCCTCCCAGACCACAAAGCCTGAAAAAACAGGACTATTTTTTCTAATCAGGTGACATTTCTATTTAGTTTGTATAACAGGTTTTTGCAGAAAGAATGGGAACCCCATGAATTGCCTGGGGGGTGAGGGCAGCTGTCCGGGTCCCACTGCTCCGGGCACTCAGCTGTTCAAAAGCTGCTCTTACTAATTTTAGTCATATTAACAACATGCAGAACAGTTAAACGATATGCTGATCTCACGGGACTATTGGCAGAGGCGAGTCCTGTTATTTTCTGAGTTGAAGACTTGGCATTTACTTTTATTATTAGCATATTTAAGCCCCCTTGTACAGAGGCTGTGTAAATATGGGAAGGTGGAATCCTCAAGAGCTCATTAGCCCGTGTCATGGCGCTATAGAGGGGCTCGGCTCATTAGCATCTCTAGGGCCTTTGAAGGGTATAGATGACTTCAAGAGGTTTTGCCTTCTTTCAAAAGGCTTTTTTTAAACTTCTGAAAGCTAAGTAACAACCTTGGTAGCTAGAACTGATGTTAATCCCATGTGACTCGGGAAGAAGAGTTGTATTAGAAACCTGCAGAAAGGCAGGGTAGTGAATCCTAAATTTTATGAGACTTAGAATTGTGCTGTGTTCAGTTTTTTGGAGCTGGCCCTGAAGAGGGGAAGTAAAATTGTCACCAGCTTGGCTTAAGGGAAAACAAACAAAAACACGACCAGCACAAAAATACCACACACCACCCCCCCAAAAAACCCACAACAAACCAACCAACCAAAACAGACTCGCTGTTCTCAGTTTGCCTCTTTCCATAATAGAGCTCTGAAAAATGCTTCTGAAGGAACATGCAGCTCAACAGAATTACATTTCCACCTCCCAGGGGTTCAGGCAAGCGTGTCGGTTTGTAAAGGTCAGCTATTGGCAATAGCACTTGTGCTGGAGAGTGGATGTCTGTGGTCATCCTCGTGTAGGCAAGTGCAGAGAAGGAGAAACAGCCCAGCAGAGAACCCCTGAGAAGTGTCTGTAGTTCCTAGCACTGAAGGTGCTCGCGGAGGGGATAGGGGAGGTGGTACAGGAGTGCGGGGCTGCTCCTGGCGGGTCCCACGGTCGTGGGGGTGGTGGCTGGAGTGCAGCCTTGGTTGTCTGTGAAGGTGACTCTGAACTCTTTCCTGTGAGGCATGGACTGGAGAATTTTAACTTCTTTCTGAAGGTGGCTGAGGTTGGGGTATGTGGCTGCACTTTAGAAATGGCTCCATCATTCCTATTTTTCAGCTACTGCAGGGTGACATCCATGGGGCTTGGGCTGCAGCAAGCCTGTTGTCCTGCCTCTGGGTAAACTTGTGAGCACTGGCTGCAGGAAGACGGGGCAGTCCTGGATTTTAACTGTGCTTTGTTTTGAGCAGGTGCTGGATCATCCCGGAGCCCCGTAGAGGGAGCTAAAGCCTGGGGAAAAGCGGTGCTGGAGAGGCTGAGCAAAGGGAAGAGGGTCCTGCTCCTCCTGGGCGTTCGGATACCAGCTGCCTTGGTCTTGAACTGTGCTCAGGATCCTCTGGAAGATACTGTTTGGCTGTGCTCCAACTTCCTGGGTTTTGTCCCTCCTTCCCCTCTCTCTCCACTGTAAATGTTAAAAAGGTTGGCCTTGGTGATCTGGAAGGTCTCTTCCAACCGAAACTGTTCTATGATTCTGTAAAATTGTTTGGGGTTTTGCTTTTCTGTCTGACAAAGTGAATGTGTTGTGAGTTCTGAACAAATATCTCACTGATAGGAAAACCATCCTGGGCGTGGATTTCATTCGTGTGAGGTCTTCCAGGGAGCTCCAACCTGGCTCCTGCTCTTCACTTAAATGCGGACAATAGTGTGCAAACGTGCTTGTTTTGTGGTGTTGATGGATGGTTCCTCTTTATGGTTTATTTCTCCTCCTTGGTGGTTAGGTGTTGTTGTCATCAGGGTTTGTGGTGGCAGCTTGCTTGTTGCCTCCCGGGAAAATCTGAGCTCTGCAGACTCCCTCGGTGCTCAGGGATATCTGGGTGTCCCACCCCAGCCTCCAGCAAGGACAACTCTCGCCAGCAGCAAGACGGGGACTGACATATGCTCTGAACTCCACATGTCCTTGGCTGAAGTCTGTTCTTGCTTTGGGAGTGCTCTAGCAGAGCTGGGAAGGGGATGTTTTTTTGCTATTTGGAGATAGCATTTTACCTTGTTTAAACTCCCCACGTGCTTGCATTTTAAACATTTTCTCCAACTTTTACAAAATAAATTGTTATTCTTTACCAAGGTGTCGTTCAATGCTGTTGCGATAGGTCTCAGCACCTTGGAGAATTTGTGTGTAGCAAGATCTTCCATCAGTTTTCTTGTGTCTACCTTAAAGACTAAAGGCACGTACAAGAAGAGATACAGAAAAGGAAGAAGGCTGGCAGGATGCTACCTCGCATTGCCTTTGTGCAGTGAAACTAGAGTCTCATTGAACTCTTGGGTTTGGAACCTCATGTCTGCTGCAGTTTACCTGCAGAAAGTGCTTCTTTTTCCAGCAACCCCCTTCCCTATTGCTAGGGGATCAGACTGCCACATCTACCTTTTCCTTAATTGACCAGAAGCCATTCATGCAGCTGATAGAGCAGTATCTGCCTGTGACTTATTTGCAGGGAAATAATTTGTTACTTAAATTATTGTTGTAGCTCAGGACTGCATATGATACTGACTTAGCCTTGACTGAACATGCAATTCCTTCCCAAAATGGAGGTGAAAATGCTGCTGATGTCACTCTTTTGGACATAAGCTGTGAGATGTCTCTTTGGTGCGAGTGTTGCAGTCGGCGTGCTGCAGCATCGCTGCCTGCCAGCTCCTGGTAGAACCATCACTTTTGTACAGCTCACAGCTAATGTTCTCTGGGAGATTTATTATTCTGGAAACTAAGCCTCCCCTCTTAATTATTTTTTTGCCAAATATATCAGGATTTCATGGAGTCCAGCTCTGAGCACAGACAATTGGGCTGAGTGTAAATGGTTGCCTGCACAAGCGCGCAGGTACTCTCACCGCGTGGTGGACAAGTGCCGAGGAGAGGAGACACAGAGCTGTGTTAATGTCTTCAGGCAAAAATCTGGGGTGAAGAGCAGATGTTAGAAGCTTAATGTGTGAAGTAGCTGAAATTGAAGATATGCTTGTAAAATGTTTATAAAATGGTCTCTCTTTACTCGTTACTGGCTCTATTCTTTGCACAAGTCCAACAGAATCTCAGCCACTGAAGGATTTTTATATCCGTGCAATTGCTTTGAAAGTCCAGAAAGTTCCTTCACCATCCTGTCTCCCTTCATCCGTGTCTTTTAAGATCATCCCAGTGCCAGTTACTACCTTTTGAATGTTGTTATTGGATTCTTGCCATAATTGGCAAATACTCAGTGTTCTGCTGCCATAAGCAAATATTTACTCTGATGAAGGATTTCTGATGGCAAACATCCTCCTTGATTTCTGTATATGTCAGGATTATTTCTTCAAGCTCAAGGGAGGAGTTTCATAGAGAATCTCCTTTCTTATAGAGTATGAGAGAGACTGTCGTTCTGCTGATAGCTCCCAGAAGAATGATACTGCCTTTAAAGAACAGGAAATTCATGACAGAAGTTTGTCCTCCTTGCAGCTTTCCCGCCCCTGGGGCAGAATGGCTCACTAGCTGCCAGTTAAGACCCCTGGTTGCACTGAAGCAGGAACAGTTCCCCAAAGACACATGAGTGTTCTTGAGGTGTGACCCACTTCAAAAAGAAGCATCCTTGAGGACATTAACTTATAAACTTATAAAGCACAAATGACAAGAAGTCTAGGGACTAAGTTCCATTACCCTTCCTATTTTTAGGGGAGGCTACTTTTGCCTGAAGGAAGGGAGGCTGCAACCAGCCAAAGAATGCAAACAGAGGAACAGCTTCAGTTGCTCAAGAGGCTACTGCTGTTTTGTTGGTTTTTTCCTGGTGGCTATTAAAGACAGACGAGAAACGAAAAGGTTTGATTCAAATTTATCT